GATTTGCCAAAGTGAGTGTGAGCAGGGGAGGCATGAGGCTTTGCACACAAGCTTGGAGGAGGGAGGCAAACCCTGCTGTGTCACCATGTCTTCCCAGATGGAGGACGGGAGCAGCATGCCTGATAAGGACCTCTGTGCTGAAGTTGACACGTTCATGTTTGAAGGCCATGACACCACAGCCAGTGGCATCTCCTGGATCCTCTATGCCCTGGCCACACACCCTGAGCATCAACAGCAGTGCCGGGAAGAGGTCCAGAGCCTTCTGGGAGATGAGCACACTGGTGAGTGCTCATGAGATGGGAGACCCCTGCTCACTCATTTAGAGAATTCCCTGCTTGCCAGCATCTTGCCTGTCCTTCAGGATAGCTTTGTTTCAGGGACCACCTAGACCAGATGCCCTACACCACCATGTGCATCAAGGAGGCACTGCAACTCTATCCGCCAGTTCCAGGCATTGGAAGAGAGCTCAGCAAGCCCATCAGCTTCCCTGATGGACGGTCCTTGCCCAAAGGTATGAGCATCACCACACTCACTAAATAAGAACACATGGGAAGCCAGAAATCTATACACCCCAAGGCAGTTCCTGAAAGTCTTTGAGACTAGTTTCCACCTCAGAATCAATGCTTCCTTTGCAGTTTGGGTGAGGTATATGATGTGCTTTGCACAGAGTTTAAATCCAGCAGAAACTCAATAAACAAATGGCAGCCTCTGAATGTGGCTTTGGGTTTTGCCGTAATATTCTAATTCCCTGAGATGTGAATGCTTGAAAGACAATCAGGTGGAGTAGGGGGAGATGTTATCTTTCCTTTTGGGGTCTAGGTTACTGAGAGACATTAAAAAATTCACTGTCATGGCTCAGATGGTCCAAGATCTGGAGAGCCCTCAGGCTGGTGGCAGAGAGAAGCTGAAGATCATACCTGAGATCCCAGCCATGGTTGGAGGCCAACATTCGGCTCACCACTGATCTGAATCCCAGCCCTGCCACATTCTAACTGTGTGGTCATAAGCAAGTAGCTTAGCTTCTTGAGGCTCAGGTGCCTCATGTGAACAATGGAGATATGAGCACATTCATTGGACGGTTGTTGTGAGGATGGATAAGTTCATGCATATTCCCCAAAGGCTCATAGATTGTACTTGACAAATGTGAGTTGTCTGTCACTTTAGTTCCTCCAGAACATAAGCCTCCAGTTCTTTCCTGCTTCTCAACCTGTTCTGGTTATCTAGTAATATGTTCACATATGCTTTGCCATGTAAGCCCCACCTCCCTTGCCACACAATCAATCCACTTGGAGTGATGAGAAGTGGCTCTCATTGTGCACGCACATGGCTCCTCATGGCATGAGTATGATCAGTCTTTTGTCTTCTGTCCCACAGGATTCTTACTCATGCTCTCTTTTTATTGCCTTCACCACAATCCAAAGGTGTGGCCAAACCCAGAGGTATGATGGCCTGGGTAGGAGGGGATGGGATGATCTCTCCAGACACATCCATCTTCCCCATCCCACCTCTGGGTAGTCTGTGTGGTGGTTGGTTGATAGGAAGGAGAGACTTGACTACACCTGTCCTGTCCCTGGTGTTCCCTCTGCAGGTGTTTGACCCTTCACAGTATGCACCAGGTTCTGCTCGACACAGTCATGCTTTCCTGCACTTCTCAGGAGGATCAAGGTGAGGTGCTTGAACATGGATGGGGGTGTTCTAGGCATATATTTGATGTTTATGACCTGTTCTGTTCATCTGTGATGTCTGCAGTTACTGGTCTTTTATGATTGTGTGTTGAGAATAGGTGTGTGTCTCTGTGTTCAAAGGAAAGGTGGCAATCACAACCTGCCATGATGTCTTTGACCCATGCTCTTACCCAATAGCCAACTATAATTCAGTATCATGGTGTTCCAAAGTTTAGTGTATTCCTGTGCTTTCCTCACTTTAGGAGGATGATTTCTCATAATCAGAATATTTCAGATGTTTGATTTTCTCAATTATTACTAATTTCTAAAGATGATTTTCTCTCATCCTATATTGTGAGTCCAGCCCACTGCTTTTTGTACCTAATTCACTGATCTGTCACTCACTGTATCAATGCTATTTGCCTGGGTTTGGATTTCCCATGGATTCCTGTTACAAATGGTCAAGTCATATACATGATTGGTTTGAGTAGTCATTTGAACAATGTCTCACATCAATACCTGTCTTCTCTATTTTTGCAATCTAATCCAACAAAATGTTTACTTTGCATTAATATTCACATAACCATGACAACTTTTCCAGCTAGCAAAATTCCTTATGCGAATGGGATTTATATATCTTAGTCCCAGAATCTATATAGTCAACATTGGCCAAAAGCACAAAATTGAGGACAATCAACTGCTTTTGAGAGAAAACCCACTAATTTGTAGATGACACTTTGTATATGGCATTTGCAAAGTTCCTGGTGTGTAAAACATAAATCAGACTTGAAGTGGCTGTGGAGCTGGATGACTATTCTCCAGAGTGGCTGCTCTGAAATCCTCCAGTGCTATTGAAATGGTCCTCTAAACAGTAACCTCCATAAACCTTGTAAATATTTACTAGAAACAAGTTATTTTCTGAATACGTAAATCTGTGAGTTCTTCAAATAGTGAATCCACTTTCACAGAATAGGCTTTAAGCAAACTACTCTTCCAGATACTCGCTGTAGGATTTGAGCCTAGACATTGGTGCAAGTCATATGGCTGCCAGTAGAGACAGGAGAGGGATAGACAGCTCCAGCCTAGCTCACACCTAATAGTTACTCATATTTCATTTCATTCCATTCAGGGTTTTTTTCAGTTCAATAAACATCATTCAGTTATAAGACTACTAATTAAGCCTATCTATGTATGCCAAGTCCTCTTCTAGGAGTTGGAAACACAGAGAAAGATACTGCCCTTGCCTCTTGGAACTGTCCTATTATGGAAGGTGATGTGTCCCTGAGTAAAAAACACTAGTGTGACTTCACGGTCTGTGAATACAGATGTGCTGCCAGCAGCAGAGGTGAGGGTGAAGTTCACAGTCAATAGATAAATGTCTCCACTCAAAGAGACATCATTCATTCATTCATTATTCTTTCACTCCATCATTTACTAACTGAACACACAGTAGGACATTCCGTGTACCTGGAACTGTCCTATTATGGAAGGTGATGTGTCCCTGAGTAAAAAACACTAGTGTGACTTCACGGTCTGTGAATACAGATGTGCTGCCAGCAGCAGAGGTGAGGGTGAACTTTCATTGCCCTTAACCTTGAGCATGTGGCAGGTAGAGGTAGAGGGAGCGTATTCTCAGGGATCTCATCAGCAGGAGCTGAGCTGGAAGGTGGAGCTGGATAGATGACAGGTGAGTGAGGCAACAAGCAGGAGAGGGTTTTCATGCCAGCTGAGGCACAGGGACATGTCTTAGCTGTGATGGAGGGCCTGGGAGGGTCTGAACTGGGCTGAGGCTTCAGGACAGGAAGGGAAGGCAGGAGACAGGAAAGCTTGGGTGAGGAGCCTGAGGGATGGCAGGCTTTATCAAGTACAATTAATATCTACAGCAGCTGGTTGAAGGAGGGGTCAAGGGGATGACAGGAGTCTAGACCCAAACTGGGTGGCAGATGGTGTAGCAGGTTGAGCATCGCTAAGGCCTTGCCCCTCCAGGATGTTTCCCTGTTTCCATTCTGACTTCCTTACACAATTCCACCTTGTCCTTTCTCTGAGGATCTGGGTCCCTATTGCTCCCCAGATGGTTAAGGCCTGAAGTGTGTCCCAGCCTATCCCCTATGGTACCCTATCCTGGCTTTCCCTTTATGAAATCAGAAATGGCTTATGGAGAGGGCAAATAATTTGATTAACTGTTGTAGTGATCACTTGACTTGCCTGGGTGGCTCAGGGGGCTGACCCCCTTGTAAGAGGATTTCAGTCCTGTTGACATCAGAGGTAGGAGAAGGAGCTAGCCCTGGAAGACTGTAGGCTTTGTCAAAGGTCAGAGGTAGAGTGTGAAGCAAGGCTTGGGTCAAGATGTGTGTGTATCCTATAAGGAAAGGGATCGGGGCCAGGTCCATGCAGGAGGTCCCTGCATGTGCTGTTCCCAGCAAGGGGATTGAGGCCACTTTGCATTCCCTTTTCCCTCCCTGACCCAGGAACTGCATCGGGAAGCAGTTTGCCATGAACGAGATGAAGGTGGCGGTGGCCCTGACCCTGCTCCGCTTTGAGCTGGCGCCAGATCCTTCCAGGGTCCCTGTTCCCTGGCCAAGAATTGTGTTGAGGTCCAAGAATGGGATCCACCTGCATCTCAGGAAGCTGCTCTAACCCCTGTGCAGACAAGGATGAGTCCTGAGGCCCTCCTGCCTGCCATCCTGTCTTCCTGTCCGTCTCCCCTGTCTCCTGTCTTCTGTCCCCCTCCAGCCTCCCTGATAGCCTCCTCTTGCCATCAGAGTGTCTGACCTTCTCTGTCTCACCCTTTGCCAGGTTTCCTATTTACTCATCTTTTACCTTTTTCCTATCTATGTGAATCCCTGCCTGTCCACTTAACCCAATGCCTGCTTGTCCCCCACCTTGCTTTCCTCTGCATGTCTTTCTCCTTTTGTACCTGTTTGGTTGTCCCTATATTATTTTTTTCTGGCTGCCAAAATAATTTACCATAGCCTTAGTGACTTATAATAATATCAATTTGTTCCCTTACAGTTCTGGAGTTGAAATTCTATAATTGATTTTGCTGGAAAACAGCCAAGAAGTTGGTACAGTCACACTACCTCCAGACTTTAAGAGAGAATCACCCTCTGCCTGTTCCAGCCTCTAGCTGCATTCCTTGTGATCTTTGGCTTCTGGAGCCTCCTCTATATTCAAATTCAGCAGTATCTTTCAATGTTTTTCTGCTTCTGTATTCATATCACCTTCTCTTCCATAAAGGTTTTTGTGATTGTATAGCCCTGCTTGGATAAAACAGACCTATCTCAGGTTCCAGGACATGGACTTGGGGAACCATCATTCACCCTGCTTAGTTTCTGTGTGATTGCTATTGGTCCATGCTCCCAGCTCTTTCCTGTGTGTTACCTGCATTCTTGTTTGTCATTATTCATATACCCTCTTCTTTTTTCCTCCCTGGAATAAAGTTCTTAATGTTGTATGGAGTGTGTGTCTTCTCTTGGAAGTAGATGAAGAAAAGAGAGAGAAGGGGGAGAAAGACAGAGGAGACAAGGAAGTGGGGTCATATCTGCTCTGTGATGCCAGAACCCCAGGAGGGCCGGATGTGTCCCGTTGCATCAGGCCATGGAGTGGTTGGCTATCTAGGCAGTACTGGTAGGAGCCCATGTGGGCCAATGGATTGGCCAGTGGCAAAGGATGTGACACCGACCCAAGCAGCAAATTGAAGGTGGCATCTCTCCCATAGGACAACCCCCTTGGCAGTCCCTTGCATCTCTGGTCTGCCACCCTGAGTGGGAGGGACTTTTTCAACCCTGCCCCATTATGTGACTGCTTGGGGGTTTGTCCTCCTGACCCTGGGCCCTGTTCCCAGGTCCTCCTTTGCCCTCCTCCACCTCTCTCAAACCAGCCCCCATTCTTTCCTTGGTTCTAAACACAGATCTCCCTCCTATTCCACTCCCTGCCATTCCTAGCCAGACCCCTGGATGCCATAGACAGACTTCCTTGCAGGCCTCTGCTTATGGTGTGATGCTACATTCTGCCTCCCTGAAGGGCCTTCTTCCCCAGTTGGTGCTTATATCTAGGACCTCCCTTTCTGTCCCCTGGCTTCCTAGATCACTGGGCTAGTTCAGCCCTGCTTTGAGAAGGGACAGAGTGGATGCTTGGTGTTTGACTAGGGGTTGGGGAAGTAAGCTGGGAAGGCACTGGACAGGAAGTCTGGAAGGTTCCCTGGCATCAGGTGGTGCAGAAGGGGAGGGGCTGAGGCTCAGAGAGTACAAGATAATGGGAGCTTGGAATTCTGGGTGGCCAGCCATGGACACATGCTCTGACCACAGGAATATACTGATGTTAATGATTGTGACCAAGAAGTAAGCCTGCTGCCTCTAGGCAAAAGAAGAAACCCAGGCTGAGTTCACACTCATATGCACAATCCCCATGCCACATACCTGTATAGCCACACCTGTGTGCACTCCTCACACACTCTATACTCTACCCCATACATGTGCATACAAATGCCAGGGGTCATAGGAAGCCACTGGGTGTTTGGAGTTCATCTTTGGTGCCCGCTGTTCTGCAGCCTCGGTCCTCCCTTGCCACGTGGAGCTTTCCCCTTCTGTCAAGCTTGGAGCTCTCAGCTCTGTTTCCCACAGACATACACTCTCAGAACAAGAGAATCAATACACCTATGGAGTCTTGGTCACGAGGGTCCAAAGTCAGAAGGCCTCATCTCAAGATTTTTTTCTGATGGGCATCTTGGCAGTTTCCTTCTCTTAACATTGAAGTAGGATAAGGGCCACCTCCAGTCCTTCCTCATAGGTTTCCTGACAAACCAGATAAGGGAAGCAGACAAGTCTTAGACTTGGGTGCCACCCATGGGCCAGAGGTGATTATGACCTCTGAGTTTTGCTCTCTGGTGATGGCTACCTCTACTTGCATAGAGAAAGGTCTGTCCACAAGCAGGACAGAGAGGGAAGTTGGTGGCATGGATGACACCCTAGCTGAGGTCTCAGCTCAGGTGGGTAAGGAGGTCTGGGTCTTGACAAGGCTTTGCAGGAGTGAGCAGGTGGCCCATAGCCAAACTTCCAGGGCTGTGGCCTTCTTTTAAGAAGGGGAAGCATCAATAGCAGGAAGGTTGTGTCTCCATATGGTACATCCTCAGGGCAACATGGAGACATCCCCAAGTCCCAGGGCTAGAATTCCCCTCTCTTATCCATCCCCTCCATCTCCAGTGTCCTCCTTTCCACTGTTGTCTAATTCCTGGATTGGAACTCAATAGTGGCCTTAGAACTTGAATCCTGGTGATATATGTGACCCCACCCATCAGGCAGCTGCCGCAGGGAATACTGAAAAATTTCTAATTCATCATGGGGCCCCCCAGTCTGAGGCCCTCCCCTAAAGCCTTTCTTTGTACCTTTGTACCTCACCTGCCTCAAGGTTTGATTTAAGCACTGTCTCTTCCAGGAAGCCCCCCTCTTTAATGCCACTCTACCGCTTTCTCCAGCAAAAGCCTGAACACTCAGAGTACTGGGTGACTGTGACACAGATGCTGACAATGGCTGGAGTGCTACAGAAACTTGTCTCAGGAGGGGCAGAAGATACACTTGGGAAACCATGTTCCATATTCCTTGATTTCAGTGGTAGTTGCCTGGGAATTTCCTTTAGAAATTCATTGCCTTGTACAGTTTTTGTTTAGGTAATTTTTCTTTATGTCTGTTATATTACACACACACACACACACACACACACACACACAGATGCACACACATGCACACACACACAGTTAAGCAGAGAAATACATCTCAGTGAGGGGGAAAGTCCTCAAAGCCATCCTTCTTTCATGTGGAGTAGGTGAGTGCTGGATCAGAATCATGAATCCCAAGACAAAGCTTCCATTGCATTCACTGCATCATCAGGGCTGGCATGTAAGTTTCTGCTACATTCTAGAAAGATTGTCAATTATAGGAGATAAAGGGAGATCCTAGAAGCAAGTATGTGCTCATCATATGTTTGTTGAATGAATGAGGTTTAGAATACACACATAATAAACATTTATTGACACACATGCTTACATGTCACTGCCCTCCAGGTGACTGTTTATGTGGGTGCCTGCTCCCCTTCTAAACTGTAAGCCTCCCAAAGACAGGGAGCCATAGCTATTCTATGATCCAGCTTGGGAGATTCTATGATCCAGCCCAAGGAGAGGCCACAGTCTGGGCTGTCTGGGGCCCTACCCTAGGCAGAGCTACTTCCCAGAGCCCAGGTGCAGAGGCTTCAGGCGGAGGTGGATTCCATTCTTGGAGCGCAGGATTAGCTGGGGCATCTTGATGGGGGGCTGCAAGGGGTCCAGGGCGAACTCAAAGCGGAGCAAGCAGAGGGCCGTGACCACCTTCATCTCATTCATGGCAAACTGCTGCCCGATGCAGTTCCTACCATGAGCAGCACGAGGTGGGATCAGACTATGGTGTGTCAAGAGTGAGAAAGTCCAAAACTCTTAGTGGCCAACAAAAGCCAATAACTATTTGTGGATGGATAACTGGCTGATCAATTGATTGACTTGGACACAGGCAACAGATCTTGGGAGCACAGTGAGGGTCCCAGACCGAGTAGATTCACATTGGGAGTTCTGGTTTGGGGGCTTCTCTTGGAATGACTCAGCCAGCCCACCACCTGCCAGGAACATGAATATGCTAATGGAAAGAAGAAAGTCCCTGGAACTTACTCTGCTTTAGGATCACCCAAAACCCAGTGGCAGCTCCCTTATCACAGAATTCCCCAAAATGGTGCTTTAACCACAACATCTTCCATTCTCCCCTCCCCAGTCCTGAGGGCCTGGGGACATTGGTCCTCTCCTTACCTGGGCCCAGCAGAGAAGGGCATGAAAGCAAAGGGGTGGCGTGTGGCCACATTCTCAGGAGTAAAGCGCAGAGGGTCAAAGACCTAAGAGGACAAGCCTTGTTTAAATATCTGCCAGGTGCTGGAGAGGGTGACCTCCATAGCCTCCCACCCCATCTGACCTCCAGGCCCAGGGATGGGGTACCTCAGAGTCAGGCCACACTGAGCTGTTCCTGTGGAGGGCATAGATGTGCAGAGAGATCAGGCTGCCTGTGGGCAGAGCAGAAGCTTGGTAGCTAGGTGGTCCTCAGAGAGCCATGCCCACCTCCTCACAGGGCCAGAATCCCCTAGTATTCTTCTAACTGGGCACGAGCCCCCGCCTGAGCACTGCCAGTGATGGAGTGTTCATCACCACGTTCAAGACATAAAAGTGCTTTTGATGATCATATCTACTTCCTCCAGTCCCAGCACTGGACACAAGCACCTGACGCAGACATTGTGGAATGGAGAGAGGAAAAAGGAGGACTGAACCCACCTTACCATGAGATAGGACAGGCAAGGACTATTACAACACTTTCTACTTTCAAATAATTGATGCTTGAGGGAAGTTACTATTCATAACCTTATGCTATCAATAATAACACCTACCATTCATCAGGTGCATGTTGTGTGCCGGATACAGAGTAAAACACTCCTTACGAAGCTACTACATACAGCTGCACAGGTTGTGGAATGCACATCATCATTGTCTATGTGAATGGTGCTTCCTGAAGTTGTTCAGGACACAACCTACATAGTGGTACATGACATCCCTGATGAATACTGTCTCTTTAACCTTGACAACAACCTTGTAAGGCAAATACTCTTCTTGCCCCTGCTCTACAGAAGAGGAAACAGAGGCTCGAGGTAGAGATTTATCCATACATTATAGAACCAGGATTTGGACCAAGGCCAAACACAAAGCTTGAGCTCTTCCCCATTGGTGCAAAGATTTGACCAAAGTGACAGAGAGTATCAGAGAAGCATCCACAAGGACTCCAGTTCCATCCTCAATCCATTCCATCTCACCTGCAGGTAGAGAGCGGCCATCCACAAAGTTGACAGGCTTGCTGAGCTGGCGGTACACCTGGGGCACAGGTGGGTAGAGGCGAAGGCTCTCCTTGATGCACATGGTCAAGTAGGTCATCTTCCCCAGATCATCCCTACCAGCAATACAACCAAGCTTTCTGGGGATGGGAAGGAATGGGGTTCCACAGGAAGGCAGCCTCCAGCCCCACCTTTCCACCTTAACCACCATCACACATCCAACAGGGAGAGGGACATAAATGCTTCAAGTGTCTACACCAGACTGGAATGGGGTAGCCACTTGGACCCAGGGGTTCTGGCTCCACTTTTCCTTTTTTTCTTTTTTTTTTTTTTCTGATTCCACTTTTCTCCATCCCTCCCTCATTGCTGCTAGAAAAGGAAGGCACAGAACCCTAGAGTTGTATGTGTATCCAGCCATCAAAGACAGTCACTCCTGTGTCTCTCAAGGCCCCGCAAAAGCCCCATAAAGGACAATTCTTTAGGTTCCACTTGGTTTCCCCTGTGGAGCTGAGGTGGAAGAAAACAAGGGCTGATATACATTGGTTGAATGAAGAAATAAATGCA